TAATTGTTAAATCTGTTTGATATTTATAACAAACAAATTTGTATATTTAACAAATATTTTATATTTGTTGCAAATAATTTTTAGAGAATACAAAAAAAAGAATAAATATTTATTACACCTGCCAATAATTTAATTCTTATATTTGCAAGTAGAATTTAGCGTTATAGCGTAAGATTATTAGTTTTCATAGCAAATATTTTCTATCCATGTTGATTTTGAAAAAGTTAATTCTGTACCATTCGATTTATACGTATAAATTCTTCGGGAGACGAAGCCCAGGGTGGTAATTCAACATCGCCGACTGAGCTACCATCTTCCTGCCTGCCCAAACGGTAGCGATTGCTATTTACTAACATTTCTGGTAGGAAAAAGAATTCCGGAATCAGCTCCTGTTAATGAAAAAGCGAATTTATAGCTCTGCCGATCTTCAGTATATCAAGTGAGACAAAATTGAAATTTTATGCAGCGATGATAACAACGGATATTCACTAAAGCGTGGCGAAAATGTAAATTTTACGAGTATCTTAATTAAATGCAACGAACCTTAACGTCGGATGTATCACGTTGGCAATTCTTCCATGAGAGCGCGATAGATGAAAATAATCTATTAGGGTGATCAAATTTGCCACCTTGCAAAGCCAAGAACATAGTTGTCATTGGTTCCTGTAAAAATCATTTATATCCATAGAATCATTTAATTATTTTTTATCATTTGCATAGATTGTCATTGTTCCTGTTTAATATGACATTAATTCAAAACAACAAATAAATTTGTGTGAATCAAACAATTTAAGCCAAGTATAATTTGATTCAAATTTAATTATTTATTATTAACTAAGTGCATACATTAACATGAATGGTATTTTGAAATTAACAGAAATTAATTGATTTACATTTTGACCCAAGTGAAAATTAAAATAAGAAAATGTTGTTTAATTCAAGGGTTCATTGGGTTACTATTGCTCCTTTGATATCTAATAATATAATCGAGCGCTTTTATAACAGGAGCATGTAAATCCCGTAGAATATCAATAAGGACAAAATGTAGAAACGAGTGTGTGAGTTGGGGCAAAAAAAATGCGGCACGATTCTAAACCATCACTTAGAGACACTTTATAGGCGGTCCTTTGTGTGCATGGTTTCTTGTGAAGCCCTTCTCGTTTCTCGGTCAGTCATCCGTTCCGTTGACAGACGAATGAACGCAAAGCGAAAGGCCACACACATAATCGAAGCATTTTCGTGCTGTGGCACAAACGCAAATATACGCGAGGACATAAACCCGATTTTTGCATTTTACTTAGGAGTGCGATCCTCGTTATATATCAGGCTTAAAACTATTCCTTTATGGCAGGACTCCGAAATAATACTATAAACGGATCATTAACGTATCTTCAGCGAACAAAGCATTGAAGTAGCACAACGGTTATAGATCAATAAATTATTCATGATACAATATTTTATCGTACAAATGCGTTGCAAATAAACAATTGAAAGCACCACGTCTTTGTTTTGAATTTTAATGTACGCAAACATGTTTTAGATTTGTCAAGAATTCGTTAAGGATAATTACATAAATTCAGTGATATCATAGGAATTATTGCGATAATTAATAATTTGGCGACAGATAGAATTCGATGAACACAATTAATGATAAATAACACTCGGAAATTTACAGCGAAATTTCTATATAAACTATAGATATTAACTCAGTCTAAAAAGGGCAGAAACAGAAAAAATAGATGAAGATATTTTCTAGTTAGGCTCTGAAATTCAAGCGAAATGCAGTATTTCATGAGGAAATGCAGCAGAAAACAAATGTGTATATTTAACGAGAAGGCGGGCGTCATTGGCATGAGGGCGTTTCGACGCCTTCAAATTAGCGTGCACGCAGTACTAAAAGTGTCGCTTAAATTTATGATGCAGATTGAACACGTTTCGTAAGTAGAAAGACAAAAAAAATCAGCGATTGGAAGCTAATTATACGTCTATTATATGGATAAAGATCCGGTCCCGTATCCTGCGTTAAACTTCAATTTAATCCCGATAAAGGAAACGACGTGGCTAGTGAATATTTTTATTTAATGAATGCATTTGTTATGCAAATATAAATGCAATTCAATCAATCAATTTTTTTTGTTTCGTATTTAAGTAGTCATAATAATCATAAAGTAATGCTATATCTATGATTTTTACAACTAAATTGATGAAATGAAGTTGAATATCAAGCATATTAGTTTCATAAAGTAATGAGAGACTTACCACGCGTATCATCCAATTTAAAACAAAGGCCGCCGTAGAATAATGTGTGCCATAGTGGAAGGGTGGTATAGTGTCGTGTTCCCAGCTCTGGAAACGTTCTTCGAAGTAAGCTCTCCTATTTGGATTCAATGCGCCAATGGGCTGTGAAATACATGAGTATTCTTTAGTCGTTTGTCTTAAAAATTTTGCTGAATTATATATGAAATATCAAATGTACATGGAGAGAAAAAAAACGCAATTATCATATTTAAGAGACCAGAATATATAGTCATTTTTAGGCCAATTATATATTTATAGTCGTTTTAACCATGCAAATGTAATTAATTGTGCTATTATAATAGTCACACATACTACTTGAAAATATCTGATTTTCTTACAGTATATTTTTTAATTGTTATTGCCACATAAATAAGTAAGTGAATATAAAAAAATAGTTATATTTATTATATTTATTATATAATT